TTCAAACGGCCAGGTGACGAGCTTTATCGAGAATGTCGCTGCGCAGTTGAATAACGTTGGTGGCTGGCCGATTGCGCTGTGAGTGTTTCACAACGGAATTTCGATGACCTGGCCACTCTTGAACGTACACCTAAATTGAATTATCCGGGTGTTCTGTCAGTTTCCCCCTTGTTTAAAGATAACTTTTTCCTGTAGTTCTTAAACTACGTTTATATCTTATTCTTACCTAATGATGTCCTTATTCATTCAATAATTAAATTATAGCTATGCCATATTCGCTAACGATGACTTTCTGGTCTATTATAGGTATAATTATTTCCCAACCTTCGCGTGTAGAATGTAACAAGTTCGTTACTTGACCCTATAAATTATCGCGATATGGGCACTTCCATCGGGGACTTAGTTCCGTCGATGACAGCCCGAACTGCGTAGATTGTTTTGTCTGCTAGAATAACTGCGTCGTATACCGTCACGAGCGCCGGCGCGGCGCCTGCCTGCACGGCATACATATACGTTTTTCTTATCGCCACCGATTACAAGCGGCAGCTGCGACCGACCTGCGCGTCGACGGCCTCGGTGCCGTCGCAGTTGTCCTTATCGTTCGTGGCGCCTGGTAGGTCTGTATATATTTACATCTCCCTCGGTGGTATCGGTTTCCGTTCTGACTGCTGTCTATCTTGTGTGCACAACATCTATGTTTGTCTCGATAGAAATGGGGAGATAACTCATATCAAGAACACAGGGAGGTTACGCGGTGGGTAAATATTTAGTTTGTTAACATGTATTGAGGAAACAAAGGCGTGATAGAGAGGGCTTAAAGGAAACATAAGTAGAGGAAAAGAAAGAGAAGCAGCATCGTTGGTGCCCGGACTACAGACATTACGGAACCAGGGGCATTGTCCGAGGTGCTTGTTTTTCTGTGCCGTACGTAACTAATGAAATCGACTTATAGCCTATAGGAAGAAAGCATAGGAGATATTATTTGTGGCTTCTCAACTGTAGTTTATTGGCTCTCACTCGAATCGAAAGCTATTGAGGTGACCGAAGAAACGCCATTTCCGCCAGGGTGACCCGAACCCAAAGCCCTCGAGTTACGTCAGTCGTCTACTAGTTTCATTGGTTAACTATATACATTCCTTTGTTCCGGTATACGCGGAGGGGTTCACGGAATACCGAATTGCGGCACCCACTCATACACTTCGTGCAGCTACGATTATAGAAACAACTGTTTGTTTATGCTTTGTGTCCGTGAGAAAAACAAGGTGACAAAGGTAACTCGATAGTAAATTAGGCCATTACCGACAGTTTACAACGCAACAGAAGTAGGCTTTTTTCAAAAACAATTCCGCGCTTGTCTGGTACATCTCTGCCCCCTTCCCCCCTAGATTACAACGCCTACCCGGCCTTTCATGTTTGCGGTATCTGGTACAACGCTAACGCAAAAGAGTTGGCGGACGAACTGAAAAATGTATGTGACCGGCGGCACTTCTGTATATCTCGAATTTAAGCGACTATCTACAGGCTTTCTATAACATATATAGTGGACAGCCATTTTTGACTGCATGGTGGCTGCTGGTCGAGTGTAACAAGCGACTCTGGTCTGTCCATATCTTACTGCTGGTGTTCGTTCACAGCTAGCTTTCCTGTTGTCTGCAACTTTCCGAATTTTGTTACTTGGCGCTACAACCAACCTCCGTCAAGATTATGTGTGTTTGATGCAAACGCGAGTGCGATAAACTAAAAGAATCCTGGGCGGGCCCATACACACAAAAACGCCTCGCGCTAAAATCTTTCGTAAGATGGCTTCTCAGCCAATCATGATATGGTACATTTCATTAGCGAAGCCAGCTGACCAATGGGGAAACACACGCACGAAATGGAGGTTCGTTGCTTGACCGTATCAACTACTGCAGCAGCGACCTGCATAGTGAATTTTGTCTTCTCGACGGAAGCCGGAATAACGGATTATTCTGTCTGCGTATTATCATTCGTGAATATGTGAGCTAATCGCAGTCAAGACCTGTGCCACCCCTCTCCAACGTAAATATGATTTATTGTCATGTGCTTGAACTGCGTTTGCTTTTCGGTGTAGGATTGTGTAACTGTTGAGCGTTTTTTTTACTTTTTATTTTTGTTCGTGTGTATTACTATATTACTTATTGTTTATTTTCTCTATTATTTACCCCGGTCATTGTCACCCCTTCTATGTAATACCTTGTGGGCCTTAAGAGCATCTTAATGAAAGTTTCGTGAATTCCGCCCCCTGTCTATAGAGGAAGTGATGTCGATTGAACGCGTTTATCGCCTCTCCTCCCCTTTCCATCGCCAAGTGCACGCGAACGGAAATCAAACGAGCGTGGCACGATCGCCTTCGAAGAGAAGGGCCTGCAGTGCCGTATAGTTTACACACGGTATACAGGGCCACGTTCGAGCTTCGCAGGGACGGCGTATAGCCATCGCGCCGCGACGGTCGTTTGTCTTGCTTCGTCGCTTCGCGGTGCACACACGCCCTGGAAACGACCGCTCGGCGCGCCGCCGCACGGAGAGTCCTTTCTTCCGCTCCGGTTCGGCGCGCTCGAGCGGTGCGCACCATGCATGCTCCGTGCACACGCTCCGCAGCATCTCTCGCGGCAGTGCGACTTGTAGTGCGTTTGCAGATTCGCTTCGCCAGCGCCGCAGCTGTAAGGCGATATCCTCGTGTAAGGAGATGTCGCCTGTTCTAGCATTGTCCCATTGTTTATAAAGACGCATCGCATCCGGTCTTGTTCTTCCTTTTGCGCAATGGAGCAACGGATTCCGCTGGCGGTATACGAACGCGATATTCGCGGCGAGCTTAGGCGCGCCATTCGCGTCATATATCCCGATTAGGGTTGCAAATTCGGTGGCTTGGCCGTGACAGTGTGCTGCAACGATAGCAGTATACTGCGTCTGTCCAATACACACATTTCTATCTGGTTTTGTCTTTAGAGGGTAATAATAATATATGGGCATGTAGCGCGTAGACAGGATAACCGCTGGTCGTTAAGGGTAACTAACTGGATTCCCAGAGAAGGAAAGCGGGTTAGGGGGGAGACAGAAGGTTAGGTGGGCAGATGAGATTAAGAAGTTTGCGGGTATAAATTGGCAGCAGCAAGCACAGGACCGAGTTAACAGGTGAAACATGGGAGAGGCCTTTCTCCTGCAGGGGACGTAGTCAGGCTGTTGATGGTGATGATGAATAATATATGGGGTTTTGCGTTCCCAAACCACGATATGATTACGAGGTATGCTGTAGTAAAGGGCTCCGGAAATTTCGACCACCTGTCGTTCTATAACGTGCATGGACACATCGCACAGTACGCGGGGCATTCCGCCTGCATCGAAATGAGACTGCCACGGCCGGAATCGAGCCCGCGAACTTCAGTCGCCTCTATAGATGGCGCAGTCGAGTGCGATGGAAAGCGCGTCAGTTCGAGGTAGATATTCGCGCGCCAATTTTTTTGACGCGTCTCAAAACTATATGCCCCTTCTTTTTAAAAGACAAGTACGCGTTTCGCGCACCCAAATTTTAGGGACACAAACCGTCGCGCATTCGAGGGAACCCAAACCGGCATATGAAAAAGAAAAAAAAAAGGAGCATGGTGTGGCATTGGGTGCGCAAAGAGGATCCTCCGGGTGCCCGGATCCGTTTTACTGCGCAGTATCTTAATCTGCCTATATACTCCTTATTATGTCATTCGCCACCAACCTGTCTAATATCGTGCACGTTTTGACTTGGTACTTCGCTCCGAGCATTTGGAATTTCGTGCCCTCAAATTCTCATTCAGGTACACGCATACGTTGTGATCCTGGAACAGTAAATACATTCCTGCACTATAAAAAGAAGGTCGTGTATATACACTAGAACGTTTCTTTTTGTTCCTCTTCTGCTGCCAGCACGGCAGCCCTCATGTACACCGCCGTTCGCGTGCCAGTCAAGAGCAAGTACCAACGTGTGTGGGCGCCAAAAGGATGTGGCGTGACCACCGTAACGTCATTGCGTGTTGGAGAAGCGCGCCGTTGCCTTTATAGACGGCGGTCGTGCGCGCCTGTCTCGGCTGTCGTCGACGGTGCCACCAAAAAAAAAAAAAAAGAGCTGCACGTTGGCCGCCTGTTTGGCGCTGACATTGGGCTTTGCGAACGGGACAGGCGAAACACGAGGAGTCGGCCCCGCTGTATATATATGTATGTGCATTGCGAGCTGCAGGTGTGCACATGGCGCGATAGAGGTATACCTCCAACCGCTGTGCCAACCTTCACAATTTCTTTATGTTGTCCGCCGTGCTCTGCGTGCGTGCGCTATCGTCGTCCACGGTCGGATGACACCCCCCCCCCCCCCCTTTTTTTTTTTATTCTCTCGTCGTGAGATTCTTCTTCGGCACGACGTTCTTTTCTGCGTGTCGAGAAGGGCGTACACACTGGTTGACGGCGTCGACAATCACGGAGGCAAGCGGCGATGTGCGTACGAGCTTGGAGACCAGTGACGTTCGCGAACAAGCGGGCGATGTGCGCGCGAGGAGATGCAGTGACGAGTGTGACCCTCGATTGCTTCTCGTCTCTGAGGCCACGGGAGGGGAGAATGCTTTCGCTCATCTATATAATAGATAGACGCATAGGAGTGGATCGCCCGGCAATGTGGGTCGGAGAGTGTCGGAAAATCGTGGTGCGCCTTTCAATGCTATATATATAACCTCTTTTGCTCATCGCTACATGATTCGTCGTAATAGGTGCGAGGGCGACGAAGAGTGACAGGAACACACACTTCATAGACACGCTCTCCTTGTCCGGTTCACCATTAGTTTGGCACGTTATTTATTATTATTATTATTATTATTATTATTATTATTATTATTATTATTATTATTATTATTATTATTATTATTAACGGCTTTCTTGTAGTTCTTTAGCAAAAAAGTCAATGTGTATAGATCACTCTCGTAGTAATGTTTCGTACGTATTTGCTTCCCGTGTCATACAGGAAAGCAGCCGGGCGAGTCCGGAAAACCTCGCTCGCTGAATGAAAATCTTTGGAACCGCAAGGGAAAAGTTGACTGCCATGGAACTTCGGATCGATACGAAAGCAGTGCGCCGCTGAGACAGCGTCGCAGGCGGCGTGCCCTTCTTCGGACCGAGCCTTCACAAAGCAGAGAGGTGCGTATATAGCAACTAAGCATTTCGTGTTTTTTTTGTTATTTTATTCTACCGCATTTTATTCTCGATAGTTTGAGGATTCAGAAAACACGAGCTACGCGCTACCCTTATTTAGAAACGACTTCCCTCACGATATATACATATACTATGAGGCAAGCGTATACATTCACCGAACAAGTGAGTTTTGTTTCTGAAAAAAAAAAAAGGCGTAATTAATTCCGCCTCGTGCCTCCGTGTGCTGGCGCGAATACCTGTCGTGGCGTGAACTTTTACCCGCGGGCACCTCTTGCATATGCGAGTTTGTCCTATATATAGTGCAACTCGTGGGCGTAGCCAGGGGGTGGCACACTGGGCACGTGCCCCCCCCCCCCCCCCTAAATATTTTTTCGCCATGGCACAGAGAGCGAAAAAAAATGGCCATATCATATTAAGGTGGTGCCCCACCCGAAATCGAATTGCCCCCCCCCCCCCTCCCGCGAAAAAAATTTCTGGCTACGCGCCTGGTGCAACTAACTGTCACTGAAGCGCAAACCGAATAGGCGCGTGTGTGGTTTGTATGTGTGCACAAAAAAAGAAAATGCTAATGAAACCGACCTGTCTGACTCTAGTCCCAGCGGTTGCATGCCGCTCGCGCTTTCTATACGGTCGCGTATATGTTGTGTTCGTCGTGGTGTTGCGTGTATACGCCTTTGTATTATTTGTCCCCTTATATACGATAACAAACAATGAAATGAAACAAACACGGTGCATGCACGGACATATGCGCTTGTCGTGTGGGCTGATCGGGCCTCTCGTTTCTGTGTATACCGGTTGTGCCTTGCGCGGAGCGGCTACGCATACACCGACGCGTGTGCATCAGGTGGCGTATATAGGCATGGCCGTCACGTGTATAGGCCTCTCCGCTTTGTTCGCTGCTCCATTAACGTGCTCATCGTTGGCCCCGCTTCGGAGCTCGCCTTCGTGGAGCGATCCTTATCGGTGGTGGAGCCGGTATGCCTGCGGTGAATGGATATGTTCTGCAGCCTTATATATATATACACCTTAAGCATACATTTCTTTCACACACACACACACACACACACACACACACACACACACACACACACACACACACACACACACACACACACACACACACACACACACACACACACACACACCCACACACACACACACACACACACACACACACACACACACACACACACACACACACACACACACACACACACACACACACACACACACACACACACACCCACACACACACACACACACACACACACACACACACACACACACACACACACACACACACACACACACACACACACACACACACACACACATATATATATATATATATATATATATATATATATATATATATATAATCAGTATATCAATTCACTTCATAGCCTACAAAGGTTCCACGTGATCAAATAGTTTCAAAGCACTTAACTGCACGCACTCCGCGAAAGTACGCGAAGTTATACAGCTGCAGAGATAGATGCGTTCACGGTTCAGTCTATTCCATTTCCCTCTTCCCATATGCGGTACTGAGCGGTTATAAGCGCAACATTTACAGTCTTCCCCTATACTTTCCTTGGCATTACTGTTTGTTAGATTACATTAATATTGTGTCAAACACGGAAAAATGATCCCTTAAGCATACACATCTTTTCTTTCATATATATATATATATATATATATATATATATATATATATATATATATATATATATATATATATATATATATATATATATATATATATATGGTAGCTCAGTGGTTAGAGCATCTAACGCGTTATTCGAAGGTCGTAGGTTTGATTCCTGCTCACGGCTGGTTATTTTTTCATCCACTTTTCTTTCTTCTTATTTACATTCCATTGGTTCTAATAACTTCCCCTGTACATTCCTTGGCATTACTGTCTGTTAGATCTCATTTTATATAATAAAATCATTTCCGTGTTTGACACAATATTAATGTAATCTAACAGACAGTAATGCCAAGGAAAGTATAGGGGAAGACTGTAAATGTTGCGCTTATAACTGCTCAGTACCGTATATGGGAAGAGGGAAATGGAATAGACTGAACCGTGAACGCATCTATCTCTGCAGCTGTATAACTTCGCGTACTTTCGCGGAGTGCGTGCAGTTAGGTGCTTTGAAACTATTTGATCGCGTGGAACCTTTGTAGGCTATGAAGTGAATTGATATACTTATCGTATGTGTTTGTATTTCCCTGTCTTACTAGAGAATTACTTGATGCATTAGTCTATAGACTTAGTTTACGTAATCATTAAATATATTTTAGGAGAGCAAGAAGGTCGTTCTATGAATTAACGCTTGATCTCTTGTTCGATCTATATCCTCCCAGTTTTTTTTGTTTTTTTTTTTTTTTGCGCATACGAGAATATAAGCAATAACGATTTCGCGTGTTTATTTTTTTAGTGTCTTTTTAACGGAACGGCTGGCGTGGATGGCTTCCCTTTCGTTCATTGGCTCCATCGCCTTTCGGAAACTAAAACTGGCGCTCTTATCGTGAACCTTGTTTGACGAAACAGGAAAAAAAAACGAGGCACTTCGCAGACCGTCGAAGAAGAGAAAGAAGGAGGCGTCTAGAACGGGTGAATGAGAAGCCCGGATACCTATATATATATATACGCGCTTTCTCAAGTCGAATGGGGGCCTTATACGCGCATACAGTGGCGAATGGGGCACGAAGTATAGCGATGTCTGAAAATTGACAAGCTCTCTCCTGTAGCGGTCGATCTATAGCTATTAAGAGCACTCAGGCTTGACGATCCCATAAAATACGTTTTCTTTCTTTCTTTCTTTCTTGCTCATGATTTCCAGGCGGTGTATACTATAGGCAGAAAAACGCCGTATATATATATATATATATATATATATATATATATATATATATATATATATATATATATATATATATATATATATATATATATATATATATATATATATATATATATATATACTGTGTTACAGCCCACGGCACTTTATGAAAACGCATTTGATGGCTCGCCGAGCGCAGTTTGATAGCAGTTTAGTTGGGCGTTTCCTTGATAATCGCGCTCTATCCGCGCGTATACAGGTAAACGCGTTTTTATACACACTCTGCCCGCGAGAGTGGTGGCGACCTGCTTTTAAGGTTTTTTTCCTTCACTATTTCAGTGTACACGGCGTTTAAAAAAAAAAAAAAGGCGTCAAGGTTAGATAAAATGAAAGCGAGAATCGCGTTAACTGGCGTCGGCCACGATACGCTCTATTTAGCGCCAAAAGGGCTCTGGCTTTCCTCTTCCGATAGCCGAAAGTGTTACTGCAAATATAGCAACGACCGATTGTGGCGTTGAAACTGTTCGTCTATATACACGGATGATTCAGTGAGCAAATTGGTACATGCGTGCGATTGTGACACTCGTGATTCTCCTGTGTCTTGCCTCCGTGCACCGCGGCACATCCAGTGACCTCATGGCGTTCGACGGACGACGAGACGCAGCGTGCGTCGTGATCTGCCAATCGTATAGGCGTCTGCGCAGTATCGCGCGCTACGCCGTGTAGCTCGAGGAAAAAATAATAACAAGCTGCCGAGGGGCTCCCAACTGGGGATCGCCAAGTGAAGGCAAGAAAGCTACGATCGCGCCAGCCTGCTATCGGGAGGAGGCCCGCCGAAAGAGGGAAAGGAGCCGCTGGTGTGACCTGGTTCCAGTCTTTATACCGCGCCGCAACTGCCGTGTTTCGTGTGTGTGTGTGTCTTTAGAGTTTTCAAAAGGAGAAGCAAGTAGTTCCCCTCCTTTTTTGTGGCAGTGAGCGACCACCACCACACTTCACTGCAAACGACCTTTCTCTCTATTAAAGAGTGAGTGAATCGAGTCAATGCAGAATAGCCTGTCCTCTCTCTCTCTCATAGTTGTGTCTTGCCTCCGTTCTCCGTGCACTCGAAAAGGGAGAGAGTTGCCGCAGCAGCAGAGCTCCGCGATAGATACAGACCCCCCCTTCAATATACTTGCGCGCGCGTCGCTGCGACGGCTGCGGAGCCCTCCCTCATCGTTCTCTCGCGTCCGCTGTCGCGAGCGCATACTCCTTCCAGTGGGTCGTCGTGGCGCGTTTACTTTCGGCCCGACGGTCGACCGGTGCGGTTGGGTTCGCGCGGGGAGCGCTGTCGACCGTGCCCTTTTGTTTGGAAGTATCCTTTCTCCGCCGAGTCCCCCCCCCCCCGTTGGAGACCGACGAGCGGTCATCGTTTTCGCTGTGCGCGTATCGAACCGCGTGTGCCTCGTCGTCCGTGGTCAAGAGGGGAGTGACATCGCCGTCCGGACGTCTCGAGAAGCGACGTGGTGTTGCCATCGACCGCCAGTGTGTCGTTTCTTCAGTGCGCTTCCTTCCTTTCTTTCTCTTCCCTCCCGGCCACTACTCGTTATATTTCGATTCTCGAGTGCCCCTCTCTGAAAGTGGGGCGACGACGAAAAGCCTGTGTGTGCGCGATACCGACCCGCAGTCGTTCTCATGTGGTGCCACGGAACTCGGTGGTGCCTGTGACGGAACAACGGTCCACTTTTCGTTCTTCGTGTGTTCCGCAGGTGAGAGTTACTGTATGCAGGTTTTGCTTGCAAAGAACATGCCCTTTTCGGTTGGAGTCGCTGCGGCACTCTTCTACCATCATCTTAAACATATCTATTTTAGTGCAAGGAAATAGAGGCATTTTTACGTTAGTTATACACACGTTTGCGTGATTTGCATTTGCACAGTTCGGCGTGAAAGTAAATCGCCGTATGCGTTGTGATTGCTTGTTTCCAAGGCAAGCCATGATTTATTTTTTTCGATGGTAATATCAGGTCAGTAACATACACTGGACGCATAAAAACACAACTAATTATAACTTATTTGACCGAGTGGTCAAGCACAACGACCTAGTTTCGTCGTACACTGCTATCACACATACAATGAACGCCTGTTCAGTCAATGCAGCGCATT